CAAAGGTTTGACATAGAAATTCAGTCACAGTAAATCAATATCTGACTATGAGGTGAGTTGAGAACAACAGGTAGAAGTGACCTTCCACGGGCCTAACCTCAAAAAGGACAGGGATGCTGTCTCAAGAGACGTATTTTTGTGCCCATGTAAGAAAGATGCGTTAAAAAAGAAACAAGGGTCTGGGGTAAAGCTCAACTGATGGTTGTCTAGCATCCAGAAAGCCCTGGGTTCAATCCCTAGCATCACCTAAACTGAAAATGGTTGTGTAGGCCTATAAACCCAGAACTCAAAAGGTTAAAGGTCATCTCCTGGACAGTCTGGGATATATGAGACTCTATCTCTAAACAAACTAACAAAAGCTAAAGGTCCTATGTGTCCTTATTGATGTGTGTTCATATGCGTGTGTGTATGTGTGTGTGTTGAATTTGTGTGGGCATATGCACACATGTGTGCATGTGGAGGTAGTGTCTTTCTTGATTTTTCTCTGCCTTATTTTTTGAGACAGAGTGAAGCTATGCTGGCTGGCCAATGAACTCCAGGGATCTCTATTTCCCTGCCTCCCCATTGCTGTTGCTACCCAGCTTTTTATATGAGGGCAGGGGATTTGAACTCAGATCTTCATGCTTGTGTGGCACTTTACTGACTGAGCCATCTTTCTAGTCCCTGTCATGTTAATTTAACACATTACTCATTTAGCAGTATTTTTAACTATTATTTTTCTAGAGATTATACATATATCCCATATACATATGGGATTTTTGCCTGTATGGATGTCTGTAAATCACATGAGTGTCTTGCGTCCTCAGAGGCTGGGAAAGGGTATCACATCCCCTGAAGCTACTGGAGTTACAGATGGTTGTGAGCTGCCCTATGGTTGCTAGGAGTCAAAGCTGGGTCCTCTAGAAAAACATAAATCTCATCCGCCTCATAAACAATATTTTTTGTTGCATACCAGCACTTTGTGGGGAATTGGGAGAGAGACCAGTAACACTTAGAAATACAACCTAATCTCCAGGGGGTACACTTTGGAGTCTTAAACCCCCTCCTCTACCACACACCCTCTTAGGATCAGAATGTCCACACTGCTGAACACTGATTGGGCCTTCCATTTAGGGTCTCTGATCTGGCATCTCCAATAGATTGGGTCTTATATTCACACCCACAACACCTGAAAGGGCCATGGGGGAGAGAAAGAGAGACATTATCTAGTAAGTATGTCATCTCCACAGAGGAGAGCTTAGGTTTGGTATAAACCTTAGAAGACTAGGAACCCAGCCTGGAACACACCTGTAATACCAGTTAGTACTCAAGAGCGGATGACTGGAAGATAGCAAGTGTGAGGCTAGCCCAGTTACATAGCAGGGAGGGTAAGATGGGGAGAGAAAAAGGCAAGAACACATGTATTCAGAGCCTGATTGTAGAGGTATACTTTGGGGAGGGATTGTTTGTTTGTTTGTTTCCAGAACCTACACAGGGTTTCTGTGTGGCCCTGGCTGTTATAGAACTCACTATAAACCAGGCTGACTGGCTTCGAACTCAGAGATTCACCTGCCTCTGCCTCCCAAGTGCTGGGATTAAAGGCTGTACCACAACCCCATGGCCTTTCACTGTTTTAACCCATCACTCTGGAAGTTGAGGGAGAAGAATCTCTGGAACCCAGGAATTCAAAGCCAGCTTGGGTTCCACAGTAAGACCTACTCCCTCTCTTTTGAACATTTCTTTCTCAGCCATTTGAGATTCCTCTATTGAGAATTCTGTTTAAATCTATACCATTTTAAATTGGATTATTTGGTTTATTGAAACCTAATGTCCTGAGTTCTTTATATATTGGATAGCAGCCCTCTATCAGATGTACAGTTGATAAAAATCTTTTCCCATTCTGTGAGCTGATGTTCTATCCTGTTCTTTGCCTTATAGTAGCTTTTCGGTTTCATGAGATCCTATGCCTGTCCCATTGGTGTTCTGTTCAGCAAGTTGTCTCCTGTGCCAATGAGTTCAAGGTTATTCCTACTTTCTCTTCTATCAGGTTCAATGCATCTGCTTTTACATTGAGGTCTTTAATCCACTTGGACTTGAGTTTTGTGCAGGGTAATAAATACAGATCCATTTGCATTCTTCTTCATGCAGTCAAACCAGCACCATTTGTTGAAGACGCGCTCTTTTTTCCATTATGTATTTCTGGCTTAACAAAACTCAGATGCCCATAGGTGTGTGGATCTTCAATAGGTCTTTGATTTGATTCCATTAATCATTATGTCCACTTTAGGAAATGCAAATCAAAACTACTTTGAGATCTCATCTTAGACCTGTCAGAATGGTTAAGATCAATAACATAAGTGACAGCCCATGCTGGTGAGGATGTGGAGAAAGGGCAACACTCATCCATATACTGTATTCAGTTGATACCCCTGGGAAGCCTGCTCTTTTCTGAAGGGAAACAGAGAAGCAGTGGAATTGGGAGAGAGCAGAGGCAGGGAGAGGGGACTGGGAGGAGTGTGGGAGGAGGAGACTGCAGTCGGGGTATAGTGTAAGAGAGAAGAATAAAGAAAAAGATTTATATATATAATATATGTAATTATGTATATATCGATACATTTATATATGTATATACATTTATGTATATACGTATACACATGTATACATATATGCATGTATGTGTATATATATATGTGTATATATATATATATATATAATATATATATATATATATATATATATACACATACAGATAGATGGATGGATAGATAGATAGATAGATAGATAGATAGATAGATAGATAGATATGGTGAGTGCTAGAGGCCAGAAGAGGGCACCAGATTTCCTGGAGCTGGAGTTACAGGTAGTTATGAGCCACTGCCAGTGTAGGTGCTGGGAACTGAACTGGGGTTCTCTGTAAGAGCCACAAGTCCTCTTAACACTGAGCCATCTTTCCAGTCCTAAGATTCTACCTTTTAAAAATATATAAAAGCAGAGGTAATGTTGGGAGATTTTTATAAATGAAACATGAGCCGTCACTTCTCTAAAGCACTCTCTGCTTTAGACAGAGCACTCCTGACTTCCACCTGGAGGCCATGCAAACACAGGCTTACAAGAGAAGACACAGGCTGACATTCATCCTGAGTGCCACCCCCAGATGATGAACCATCTCAGCTCGCTTGCCTCAGAATCAGAGTTAACAGTAAAAAGTTTCTCATTTTCTCTCATTCGCCACACTGCCTGGAGCCAGTTGCACGACAAGGCCCACACTGCCCCCTACCGCCCGCACTCCTCCTTGACCTTCTTTAGCTCCCATTTGAAAAAAGAAAACCAACAGAATACCCCCACCAAAGTCAAATGTCTTTATTTTATATAAAAAAATTTTTTGTACAGTTTTAGTTCCTATGTTTAAGAAAAAAAATCCCTAAAATTGCCATAATGTTTAATCCACTGCAAATGTAAAAACAAGCTTTTTATATATTAAAAAAAATTTACATTTTACAATTTTCTACATGCATGCACAAGGTCTCAGCTCTGGAACCAAAAAAAAAAAAAAAAGCCCCAAAAAAATTTTTAAAAAAAGATTTAAAAAATAAAAAAGAAGAAAAGGAAAAGGGAGAAGAAAAGGGAATAAAAAAATCTAGATCCAACAATGGAAAATCCTACATTTACAATCTCACTTGGAAGAGACTCAAGAAGCCCCTTCCTTTTGCACACAGAAGAACAAATTACAACAATCACACAATCAGAACAGAATCCATCAGCAGATGCTGCCCCACGGGGAGAACAGAGGAAAGAAAAGAGACTGACAGACACCAGGAAAGGACAAGGCAGAGCTAGGCCCAATCAACAGGGAGAGCAGGAACCCTGGGAAACATTGGGGTGAGGATCTCCCAAGAATCCTGCCTCCTTGCCTTTATTAAATCAGAGTTCACAATGGGAATGAGAAAGCAGGAAGTGACAGACCAACAGAGAGAACAAAGACGTATATTTAAGGAGAAACCGGAAAGGGACCAATGGGGAGGGTGACGGTGGTGAGGTAGGTGATGGACGGAGGCACGGTGTCCTGGTGTGAAGGGAAGAGGGCAAGCACACGCTGAGGTCATGGAAACAAAGGCCAAGTTGTGCAGTGGGGTGAGCCAGGATGCCACACAGCCAAGAGCAACAAGTGCACTGGAGTAGCCCAGCCCCGCATCCCCATGGAGAGAGCGTCGGGCTGGCTAGCCACATGCCCACAGTGGAAGCATAGGAAACCAAGTGAGCGGTGGGACAGCATTGGTTGAGGAAACTGCTCAGAGAGACTGAGTCAGCTGCCCACCCATAGCACATAGCAGTTCACAGCATGAAGACAACTTCCCATTCTGGAGAAGCAAAAGACACACACATACACCTCTCAATCTCTCTCTCTCTCTCTCTCTCTCTCTCTCTCTCTCTCTCTCTCTCTCTCTCTC